CAAAGACTTCCTTTTTTTTTTTTTTTTAAGATTTCATTTATTTATTAGAGATAGTGAGAGCATGAGCAGTGGGCAGAAGAAGAGGAAGAAGCAGGATACCCAATGAGCAAGGAGCCCAACATGGGGAACCCAGGATCCCAGGATCATGATCTGAGCCTAAGGCAGATGCCTAACTGACTGAGCCATCCAGGTGCCCCCAAATACTTCTTGAATCTATTATTCTATGTATCCCACCTGATTTGTATTGTCAATCATAAGGCCAGTGATGACGGTAGTTGAATGCAGTATTTTTTCTGCACTCTGGGGCCTCACTGATTTCCATTCTCCTATATAATGCCCTCTGGGGTTCTGCCTTTATATTGTCTGCCCAACTCATGAGCTGATAATGTAGAGGCATTATATTCTCTCCTTTCTGTTTGCCTGTTCAATTACTACCGCTATGATGGTAACAATGAAAACCTCTAATCTGCTGATCCTCTTCTATTGCTTTTTTATTTTTTTATTTTTTATTTTTTTTTAATTTTTATTTATTTATGATAGTCACACACAGAGAGAGAGAGAGGCAGAGACATAGGCAGAGGGAGAAGCAGGCTCCATGCACCGGGAGCCTGACGTGGGATTTGATCCCAAGTCTCCAGGATCACGCCCTGGGCCAAAGGCAGGCGCTAAACTGCTGCGCCACCCAGGGATCCCTGCTTTTTTATTTTTAAACAATCCCAGAAGCCCTCTCCCTTCTTATTAAGGTTAGATTCTACACTCTCACATCTTCATAGCATTTGATAACGTTCTTAGACTGTGTGTTTTTAGTAAGTATCACCCTAAAGGAACCCTACTATCCTATTATCTACCCTAAAGAATCTTAGTGCTGCTTAAGAAAGTTATACAGCAAATTAATATTGATAAATTCATGAGTATCAACATCAAAGGTGCCCTTTGGTCATGCTTAGAATCCTATTATGTTTCTGTGGTAACTTACTCTCCCCTTCTTTCTTTCTTTTTTAAAGATTTTATTTATTAATCATGAGAGACACAGAGAGAGAGAGGCAGAGACACAGGTAGAGGGAGAAGCAGGCTCCATGCCAGAAACCTGATGTGGGACTCAATCCGGGAACTCCGGGACCACGCCCTGGGCCGAAGGCAAACATTCAACTGCAGGCATCCCTATTCTCGCCTTTCAACTATTTCAAACTTATCCACATTATTCAAACTGCCAAAGCACCCACACTCCCACTCTGCTCAGACAGAAGACTGCATGCTATTCTTTATCTTTTGAAGACTTATTTATTCATGAGAAACACAGAGACAGACACAGAGGCATAGGCAGAGGGAGAAGTAGGCTCCCTGCAGGGAGCCATATGTGGGACTCGAACCCGTATCCCAGGATCATGCCCCAAGCCAAAGGCAGTTGCTCAACCGTTGAGCTACCCAGGTGTCCCTGCATGCTATTCTTTAAAGAAAAAAAGTTGATCCTATCATATGGAAAACTCCCTAAACTCTTCACTACTAAATGTACAAACCTGCCTAATATACATCCATCGTGTTCATCCATACCTTCACTCCTGTTCCTTCTCCCAACTAAAGCCCATTCAATTTTATTATCATTAATGCTGTGAATCACCTTTTTAACCTTCTTGGGTCTCTGCCATATAAATCTTACTCTCCACAGTTAGTAATTTGAGAAAAGACTGAACTGGTCATTGAAACCTTATAAGACAGAAGAAATAGGGGGGAAATGGTTTTTAAACTTTCTTTTAATTGAATATATTTGACATATAACTCTAAAATTTAATGTGTACAATATGTTAATTTGATACATTCATATATTGTAGGGAAAATTATTTTTTTAAAAGCAGGCTCCATGCCCAATGTGGGGACAGAACTCACGACCCCAAATCAAGAGCCACATGCTTGACTGAGTCACCTAGGCACCCCTGAAAATGGTTTTTGAGATACAAATTTGATGGGTGCCTGGATGGTTCAGTGATGAAGCACCTACCTTCAGCAAGGTCATGATCCTAGGATCTTGGGATCCAGCCCCACATCAGGCTCCCTGCTCAGCAAGGAGTCTGCTTCCTTTTCCCTCTGATCCTCCCTCTCCCCCACCTCACTTGTGCTCTTTCTCTCTCAAATAAAGTCTTAAAAAAAAAATACAAATTTGATCACGCTACTTCTCTGTTAAAGCTCATTTCTTACAACTCTTTTTTTTTTTTTAAGAGAGGAGCAAGGGGGAGAAGGGGAGAGAGAGGATCTTAAGCAGAGTCCATGCCCAGCACAGACCCCAACACAAGGCTTGATCTCAAAATCCTGAGATCATGACTTGAGCCAAAATCCAAAAGTCAGACACTTAACTGACCGAGCCACCAATGTGCCCTTCTTCTTCTTTTTTCCCCCCAAGATTTTATTTATTTGAGAGACAGTGAGAGAGTCAGAGGAGGAGCAGAGCAAGAGGGATAAGCAGATTCCACCATGAGTACAGAGCCCAATGAAGGGCTTGATCCTATGACCCTGAGATCATGACCTGAGCCAAAATCAAGAGTTGGACACTTAGTTGACAAGATTCTTTTAATACTCCATTATCCAAACAACCATAAGACCTTTGCATATGCTGCTGCCTTTATCTGGAATGTTCTTCCTCACTTTCTCTAAGACAGTTATTAACAATATAGACTCTACAGCCAGACTGCCAGAAATAAGTTCTCTTATTTCTGTCACTTATTAGCTGTGTGACATGGATTCACTTGTTTGCAAAATAGGGAAGGCAATATTATCTATCTTATAGTACTATGAGAAGATAAATTAGTTATTATGTATAAATTGCTGAGAATACCACCTAGAACACACTAAATGTTCTACATGTTTGCTAAATAAATGAACAAACCTGAGATGTAGTCTAGCATAACAGTTAGGAGCCTAGACTCTGGAACCAGATTGCCTATGCATGACGTTTGGCTCAGATTTAAATGCTGTGAGACCCTGGGCATATTACTTAGCTACTCCGTTTCTTCATCTATAAAACAAGATAATAACCTACCTTATAGGTCTATTATGAGGATTAAAAGAATATATACAGAAAGGGCTTACAATTGTACCGTATGTATGTATGTACACACACACATATATAGGCACTATGGATATATATATATATGTCCATAAACTATTATTTTCAAGTTATCAACTCCAGTATTACTTTCACATAAAATCTTAAAAAAAAAAAAAAAAAAGAAAGAAATAATATTTTAAAAAAAGGGGGGATTCCTGGGTGGCTCAGCGGTTTAGCGCCTGCCTCTGGCCCAGGGCGCGATCCTGGAGTCCCAGGATCGAGTCCCACGTCGGGCTCCCGGCATGGAGCCTTCTTCTCCCTCTGCCTGTGTCTCTGCCTCTATGTCTATCATAAATAAATAAATAAATCTTAAAAAAAAAGAAATAATATACTTTCACATAAAAGCCTTTTCTCAACCAATTAGCCTACGCAAGGGTTCCTGTGTTGTTCTCACCTTGTTTCTAATTATAAATTTGTTAGTAATTTATTTAATGATTTCATTAGCTTCTGTTTATCCCACTAGATAAACTTCCATGATGAAAGAACTGAGATAGGTTTTGCCCACTTGGTAGGCATCCTCAAATACTTAACTGAATTAATATTGAAATGGCTAACCAAAATCTTCCTATTTGAAAATGGTCTGAAATATTTTATTACCAAGTAATGTATTAACATGATCAAATAATATTAATTTTCAGATTCGGGAATATAAATGGCCTTTAGAGGCAAAAAGTGAAATCCAGTCAGGCTTCAAAGAATATGAATGACGAATGACCATTAATAACCAGTACCTTCTCACATTTAAGTGTTTATTTTTTTCATTTATTATAAACCATTTAAAAGTTTTTGTAAGAAGGGGTGTGCCTGGGTACCTTAGTCGGTTGGGCATTCGACTCCTGATTTTGGGTCAAGTCATGATCTCAGGGTTGTGGGATCAAGCGCCGCATCAAGCTCTGAGCTCAATGGGGAGTCTGCTTGAGAGTGTCTCTCTCTCTCTCCCTGAAATAAATGAATAAATCTTAAAAAAAAAAAAAAAAAAGTAAAAGTTTTGAGGCACCTTGGTGGCTCAGTTTGTGCCTTCAGCTCAGGTCATGATCCTGAGCTCTGGGATCAAGCCCTACATCAGTCTCCCTGCTCAGTGGGGAGCCTGCTTCTCCCTCTTCTCCTCCTGCTTGTGCTTTCTCTCTCTGTAAAATAAATAAATAACATCTATAAAAAAAATCCTAAAAAATTTAAAAATAAAACTTTTTGCAAGAATTAAGTTTTGGAGAATAAAGTTCACTGTGTATTTTTTTATTATCTTATGCTCTGGTGATTAATACAGTGCTTAATAAAGAGAAGGCCTCTATAAAGATTTGTTCTCCAAGTATGTAAACATCAGCATGATTACTGCATGTAATATTTATGTGTCACAACCAAGACCTGGAAATTTACAGCATTTGAACTACTGCAGAAAGCAGTATGGAAGCCTCCTTTGTTAGGGTACATCCATAAAACCAGAAGCTCTAGTAACAATTTTATATCCCCCACAGCCCTTAGTATGCTACAGTCACTACTTGCCAAATGAAAACCTCATGGGAGATTTTTCATATGGTTGGAAATGGCTGAGATGAACACATTGCCTTCTTGCAGTGCTAAGGACATAAGCAGAGTTCACATATATTCACAAACACCTGCCCTTAACTGTATTACTGGTGATTTCTGGCAGCTACTGAAAAATAAACTTAAAATCTACATTCAATCTTTTAATTTCCTTGTAATAAATAACTAAAAAATAACAACTAATATCACATCTAATATTTAAAGTCAACACAAACTTGAGAGATTAGGCATATGTTGGGATTTTTACTGGTTACAAGCACTCCACCCTAAATATTTCCATACAGGTTTCACTGAATTCATTATGTTTCTATTCATTATGAAAACAATCTCTATAGTAAATCATCACAACTTCCCATACCTGGCGTGTAAGTAAAACGTTGAGACTGGCTTTTCTTCCTTTTGCCATTGCAAAGATAAAAGTGCACCTGCACTGCAGCTGTAACTGCTGGGTTATGATATGGAGGAACTTCAAGGACAATGTGAGCCTAAGGAGCATAGAAAGCAAGACTGTGTTACACTCAGAACTACAAATGAAACACGCACCTGCTAAACTCAGCACAACTCATGAGTCTTAACTATTCAAAATCTACCATCATAGATCATTATGCACATCAATTAGTCATGTAAGTCATCTGGAGATTTACTCTATAGAATTCTAATCTCAACAGAGATAAAGTCTTTAAAGTAAACCAGTAAGGAGAAATTGCCTTTTTGTCATCCAATTGGGTTTCTAGTTGTAGCAGAAATAAAAACAGTCATATATATACTTTGTGGTGAGATACTCTGCACTACTGAATACATGTTACTATTGATCTTAAGTGGAAGTCTATTCTGGTTTTCTATCAGTTTTCATATTTCCTGAGTTGTATTATAGTTTAGACTTCTTATCTTAAATTTCATATTCAAAGTGTTCTAAACTGGCATTATATATAATCTGTTCCCACATAAGAAATAATTTTACACAAGCAGAATGAAAAATTGTCCTAAACCAATTCTAATCCTTAATCATTTTTAAAAAAAGATTTTACTTATTCATGAGAGACAGAGAGAGAGGCAGAGACAGAGGCAGAGGGAGAAGCAGGCTCCATGCAGGGAGCCCGATATGGGAAAGGCAGGTGCTCAACCACTGAGCCACCTAGGCGTCCCTGCAATTCTTAATCTAATGTCTCCAGATATTTGAGAGAGCACTGTGCAAAGTGTTATTCTCTACCCCACAGAAGATTCTATCTCCATTCCAACCAGGATGAAGGGACCGCACCATTTAGTGTTGAATCCTGGAAGGCTTAATGCTGAAAAGATGCAAATATCATGCTAAATACACAAACTCATGAGGGTTTGTTCTCCCCCTTATTTTTGCCCATTAAATGTTCTTTATTGAATTTATTTTATTTCATCACTGAATTCAGAGAAATATGTAAATAATAACATCAGTAAGAACCTTCTAATAAAAGGGAAAGACACCAATTGCTTATCTATCCTAAACTTTAATTTTAGTGCCAGGAAAGTACCTATCTCATATGCAAACTTCTTAAAGTTTGAATTTACTTTTCTTTCACTCAATAGATAAAAGACTCTTCATCTACAACAACAGGTAGCATTATCCAATTTTCTCATTAAGCGTCTTAAATATTTCTAAAAAAATAAAGTAAATTTCTTACCCCTTGACATTTTTCCCTGATTATTTTCCCTTCTACTTCCCACTGAGGTCGTCCATCTATTGAAAGAAACAATTTACAGTTAAAAATAATTTAAGTCAGAAAATATATAAACAAAATCTAATGTATTTAGTATCACAAGCTTATTGGCAAAGGGAATCTTTTTCTCACTGACCTCCATTATGAAAATAAGTACCCATGAGAAAAAATGGGGAGAAATATCTTGGGCTGTCTGAGTTAGTAGACCCCACAGTTTATTCTATTAAGTGATGTCTGAAAACCTTTTGAGAGCACCTTCACCAAGTGGTAGTCAACTTCCATCTGTCTACCTTAGGTAAAAGGAAACTCATTTCCTCACCAAGTAACCCATTTTATCTTTGGACAGTGATTGCTGCTGGAAAACTCTTCATGATAGATAAAATCTGCCTCCTTATAGTATCCCATCACTGGTTTAAGAACTACTCCTTGCAGCCCCCCAATCCAAAACATCTTGAGTGGTTCTCTCCAGGACAGTAGTCCAGATGTTTATAAACAGCTATGCTTACATGTGTCTCCTCTTCTACTGGCTAGTATCCTCAGTTCTGCATCTAACTACTACACAGTATTTTAGCCTTCCGGCCCACTCTTTGAACAGTCCTCCAGTGTGACCATATCTCTCCAAATGTACCAAGCCCAGAACTGAACAGCTCAGGTGGGAAATGAAGAGATGGTAGACAATGATGAAGGCTCCTGCCATCTTATGTCAAGATGCTGCATCTGAATGGTGAGTGCACCATACTGACCTACACTCAGTGTATAGTCGGCAAATTTCCCTCAATCCATTATATTTCCTACTGCCAAGTTCAAACTTCTACACTGCACTTACGTGTTTTCCCCCCAACCCTTATTAGGTTAATTTCGCCCTAGTAGCCTTGGATTGCCTGGCTTGCTAAGATCTTTTTAGACACTGATGTCTTTGAATATATTTGCTAGGCTTTCCAGATTTGTGTCAAAGATCTGGCCAGCACATTATCTGTCTCTTCATCCTAAGTGAACTGTTCATCTGGGGAGAACCCCAACTGCTAAAGCTCTCATTCCAGTCTGATGTGAGTATTCTAAGGCATTCTTTTTGTAAGTCACAGGTATTCACCCACTGACTAACCCATACATGTATCTTCACAGCTAGCATGACTTCATCTGGTCTGTGAAGATATCAAAAAAGACTCAATCAAACATCTTCTGACTTGTGACTATCATTTTCCAGTCCAATAAATAACTAGATAATGGTTACCCTAGCGCAAAAGAGATACTACACTCAAATGCTATGCCTACACAGAAATACAGCTCAGTTCAACAATCATTTGCTGATTCCTGACGTGCCAGGCACTTTGGGTTACTGAGATAATGAAGATAGGATACTCTTACCTTCAGTCTGTGGATGAAGGCAAATATAAACAGTTCATTATAATAAAATGTGGCGGTTACAATAACTAAAAAAGGTGAACTCTGGAGGTGCCAAGAGAACAGAAGTCAGGGTCCTTACCCTAGTCTTAGTGTGAGGGTATGAGACAAGAAGCTTTCCTGGGTTCTTGAACTGAGGCTTAAAAATAAGGGAGAATTTAAGTGATGTGACGAGGGAAGGGTGGTCTAGGCAGAAGAGACAGCACGAGCAAAACCAAGATGAAAAGAAATTACACGATACAGGGAACCATAAGCAGCTGTGTTGGTGGGCAGGGAGCAGTAAAAAACGAGGCTGGAAAGAAAGGCAATAGACTGTGACCTAAAAGCCATGTTAAGGGGCCTAAACTGGGATTACTGATGGTGCTTTCAGAATGGGCTTTAAATATTCGCAGCTGCAGTCTCATCTGAAACAATAACTGCTACCATTTAACATGATTCCATTTAAATCAAAGGTCTCAAAAATAAAGCTCTGGGTTAAATGAATTCTATAATCAAACTGCCATACATACATACATACTTATTATATTCAGGCACAAATGAATTTTTATAATAGAAAGGGATAGCTTTGAGATACTAAGTCTTCCTCATATTTTTTGTTTTGCTTATAATATGATTGCTGAGGACGTTCCTCGACCAGCTGATATAAATAGTTCAATATACAGTTACTATCATATCACTCTTACTTCATAGTACTTTTATATGGAATTATTTTGTTCACTGATTTGTTTATATGTTTATTGTCTGCTTCCACTAGAATGTAGACCATTAAAGCAAGCAACTTGAAGATTGTATTCACCATTATATTCCCAATGCCTAGATAAGTGTCTGTCATTTAACAGTTGTTTCACAAATAATTGATGAATTAATAAATTGTGAAACAGGGATGCCTGAGTGGCTCAGTTGCTGAGCGTCTGCCTTTGGCTCAGGGCGTGATCCTAGGGTCCTGGGATTGAGTCCCACATCAGGCTCCCTGCATGCAGGGAGCCTGCTTCTCCCTCTCCCTATGTCTCCAGCTCTCTCTCTGTCTCTCATGAATAAATAAATAAAATGTTTAAAATAATAATAAACTGTGCTGAGATGCCTGGGTAGCAGTTGGGCATCTCTTTGGCTCAGGATGAGATCCCAGTTCGGGAATGAGTGCCACATCAGGCTCCCTGTGAGGAACCTGCTTCTCCCTCTGCCTATGTCTCAGCCTCTTTCTGTGTCTCTCATGAATAAATAAATAAAATCTTAAGAAAAAACAAACTGTGAAACAGAACTGATACTCCTTGCAGACAGGGAGGCATGGGTCAGGATCAAAGGAGCTGGAAGGAATTGTATTTTATTTTGTTTTGTTTTATTTTATTTTATTTTTTAAGATTTTATTTATTTATTCATGAGAGACACAGATAGAGAGAGGCAGAAACACAGATAGAGGGAGAAGCAGGCTCCATGCAGGAAGCCCAATGTGGGACTTGATCCCAGGTCTCCAGGATCATGCCCCAGGCTGAAGGCAGCGCTAAACTGCGGAGCCACCGGGGCTGCTCAAGGAACTGTATTTTAAAGGAGAAAGACACATGGTTTCCAGCCTAAGAAGAGGAAGATGTGACATTATTAAATCAAGTTGGGGGACCCAGTGAGATAAACTGGTTTGTTAAGTCTGACATGTTTTTATATTTTAAGTATCAGTGGGACATTAATGCACTATTTAGTGGGTACTTTATTTTTTATTTTTTTTTTAAATAATTTTTTTTTAATTTTTATTTATTTATGATAGAGAGAGAGAGAGAGAGAGGCAGAGACACAGGCAGAGGGAGAAGCAGGCTCCATGCACCGGGAGCCCGATGTGGGATTCGATCCCAGGTCTCCAGGATCGCGCCCTGGGCCAAAGGCAGGCGCCAAACCGCTGCGCCACCCAGGGATCCCCTAGTGGGTACTTTAAAGCACATGTTAGAAGTTTAAAATAATGCGCCTATGGATAGAAATATGATAGTTGATGAGATTTCCTAGAATGAAGGAATATAATGAAAAGAAAGCTGAACCACAGAACCTTGGGAAACATCTATATTTAAGGGCCAGAAAAATTAATAATAATAATAATAAAAAAAGATGAATGAGGACAGTTAAAAAATGTGCCGAGAATCAGGTAAATACAATCACACAGGCCAAGAAAGAAAACAGTATCAAGGAGAGTGGATAGCTGACTGTCCAAATTTTAGGTTATGATTTCAATATAGTAGAATACAAAAGATAAGTAGGAGGTAAGGAAATGAAGGTAGGGAAAGATAATTTTTTTGAGGATGATAAATGAAAGAGAAATAAAATACATTATGAGGATGACAGTCAAGGGAAAGGGAATAGTTTAGTATGAAAAAATTTAAACTTATTTTAAACTCCAAGAAAAATACTCAGTGGAAAAAGAGGTACTGAAATCACAAAAGATAGGCAATGAAGGTAATATATAGCCTTAAGTACTTAACTTTTACAAAGATGAAAGGATGAAAAATGAATGAGATTACTACTGATATTAAGAAAAAGAAATATGGGCAGCCCAGGTGGCTCATCAGTTTAGTACCGCCTTCGGCCCAGGGCCTGATCCTGGAGACCCAGGATCAAGTCCCACATCGGGCTCCCTGTGTGGAGCCTGCTTCTCCCTTTACCTGTGTCTCTGCCTCTCTCTCCCTCTCCCTCTCTCTCTCTCTCTCTGGGTCTCTCATGAATAAAATCTTAAAAAAAAAAAAAAGAAAAACATATTAAGCCCCCAAAAAGGGAAAAAAAAATACAGAAACTAGGGAAACAGGAAACAAATACACAACTGAAAAGATCAATAAAGCCAAACTACTCTGGGAATACTGACTAAAACACCAGAGATGTACAAATAAATAAAAGTGGGAATACATTTTTTTAAAAGGGATAGAATTCCAGATGCAGAAACACGGTATTATAATGTCAACAAATTTGAAAACTTGGGTGAAATAAATAAAATCCTACTGTGAAATAATAGGGAAAATATATATTGGTCTCTACCTCTGGTTCCTGGCATAAAACTCCTAAAAAAGTGGTAAGAAGCTCACAAGGAGTACTTTTTGTTCTTGTATTTGATCTCTGACTCCAGTTTCTGACACAGAAGTCTTAAAACCCTTGGAATTTCCTGGGTGATAGGACTATCTCTTATTCTAAGGAAGGGACTCCTGGTGGCTCGTGGATAGAGGCTGGTCCAAAAAGACCAAGCCATGATTAGAAGCTTGAAATTTTCAGTCCCACTTCCATTCCCCAGACAGGGGTGAGGGGCTGGAAATGGAATAATCAATCAAGCCTGTGTGGTGAAGCCTCCATAAAAATTCCAAATACTGAAGGGTTTGGGTAGCTTCTGGGTCGCCAAACACATCAAAGGAGCTGGGACAGGGGCAAGTCCACAGAGGACACAGAAGCTCCACATCCCTCACTATATATACCTTACTCCATGTATCTCTTCCACTTGGATGTTCATCTGTATCCTTTATGATATCCGTTGTTATATTATCAACTAGTAAACGTAAGTTGAGTGTTTCTCTGAGTTCTGCTCTATCAAATGATCAAATCCAAGATAGGGGTCATGGGAACTTCTGATTTGTAGCCAAGTCAGGCAGAAGTTGTGGACTCCTAAGCACCTCCTACTTTCAATTAGCATTTGAAGTGGGGGGCAGTATTATGGGACTGAGCCTTTAACATATAGGGTCTACGCTAACTCCAGTTACTGTCAGAACTGAATTTAATTAAGAACACCCAGTTCATGTCAACGAGTTGGTGGATATATGGGAAACTCACACATGTGGTGTAAAAAGTGTTTTGACAGTGGTTAACATTGTGAGAGTGAAGGAGAAACAGACTGAGGGCTTTTCTTTTTACCTGGAAAAACATAAATCAAGAAAATTACCTCAAGAAGAAATAAACTTAAATGGTCCCTGTACCCATAAATAGGATTATAGCAGAAATTAAGAGTCCCACAAAACCTCTGCCCAGAAGGTCTCAGAAATGAACTCAGCTACATGTTCAAAGAAAGGTGAAATTATACGACACACACTTGGGGAATAGGAAAAAATGAGGCACTTCCCCAAATCACTTTGATATCCAGAACACAGAAAGAATCCTATAAGGCAATAAGAAAACGAAAACTGACTCAATGGAAAAAAAAATGGGCAAAAACATGAAGATACTACACAAAAAAGGATATGTGAATGACCTGTAATATCCTCAATAAATATCAGGCAAATTCAAATCCAAAGTCCAAGATACCATTTTACATCTACCAAATTAACAAAATTTAAGAATTACAACATTCTTATCTATGTCCACCAGGTGATAAGAACTATAGCAGCTCTGTTATTGTTTGGTAGTGCCAAAAACTGGACACAGCCCAAATATCCAGTGAGAAAATAGTTAATAAACTGTGGCACGTTTATACAGTGAAACTACATAGAAGTAAAAATGAAAGATCTTTTGTTACATGGATTTTTTTTTTTTTTAAAGATTTTACTTATTCATGAGAGATAGAGAGGCAGAGACATAGGCAGAGGGAGAAGCAGGCTCCATGCAGGGAGCCCGATGTGGGACTCGATCCCAGGACTCCAGGATCACACCATGAGCCAAAGGCAGACGCTCAACAGCTGAGCCACCCAGGGGTGCCATACATGGATCAAACTTAAGACATTACTGTTGACCTCTGAAAAAAGCAATTTTCAGGAGAATACATGCAATGTTATAACATGTCCAAAACCAGAGAAAACACATAAAACTTTATATAAAGAAATGCATGAACTGATTTAGGAATAGGATCCATCTGGAAAGGGGTTTCAAGAGGAACTTCAGAGATAAATGTCCTACTTCTTAAACTGGTGTAATATCTGTTATCTTCTTCTTATAAAAAGGTATTTCACAATTTTAAAACAGAGGAAGAGAGGAAAAAATAAAACAAGACAAAGAAAGTGAGAGAGGGAAACAAAACATAAGAGACTTTTAATCATAGGAAACAAACTGAGGCTCAATGGTGGGGGGAGACGGGAGGGCAGATGGAGTACCTGGGTGAAGGGCATTGAGAACACGTGATGTAATGAGCACTGGGTGTTAAATAAGACTGATGAATCACTGAGCTCTACCTTTGAAATAAATAATACATTACATGTTAATTCACTGAATTTAAATTTTTAAAATGCAAAATAAAAAATGCTTAAAAAACTGAGAAGGAATAATTGATGGAAAAATGTTTTGTTTTGTTGGTACACCTCCAACACCCTACAGGGTCCTAGGACACTGTGTGAAATGGGGGAAGCACTGTTTTTTTTATTTTTTACTTTTTGTCCTCCAGGAGCTTGATAGAAAAATGTTTTAAATATGTTCAAAAGGGCTAAATCAAACATCCTGATAGTCACAGGATTCTTCTACATTTCCAAAATTGAAGATATAATAATTTATATAGTTATGCATAAAATACATAAAATTCACCCTTTTAAAGTAAACAATTGAGAAGTTCTTTAGTATGTTCACAGAGCTGTACAATCACCATCACTAATTCCAGAAACCCCATGCCAATTAGCAGTCACCCCCCACTGACACCTCCCTCCAACTTGAGGCAACCGCTAATACACTTTCTGCCTCTATAGAATGCTGATTTTGGACACTGTATGCTGATCCCTTTCACTTACCATGTTCTCAAGGTTCATTCATGTTGTGTTATGTATCAGTACTTTATTGTTTTTTTATGGCTAAAAATCCCACTGTATGGATAGATCCCAATTTGTTTATCCATGTAACAGTTGATGATTATTTGGGTTGTTCATCTATTTTGGCTATGATGACTAACGTTATTCTAAGTATTTATATTTAAGTTTCTATGCAACATATTGGCAATTCTCTTGAATATATGTATATATAGGAGTAGAAATACTGGGGGGTTCGTCTAGTTTTGAGACATCTTTAATGAGAATTCAACATTTAGATAAAAATTTAAGAAATGTATGGCTTACAAAAAAAAATCTGTGTAAATGATGTCTGTTGCTTTAGGAAAACTATTTTGTGATTAATGTTAGTGAAACAACTGAGTAATTCATTTTATCCCCTCTGCCCCTTATTTTGAAGTCAATCAACTCAAATCTTATTTACCTTGTCCTTTTTCAAGAAAAATGATTTTGGATTCTGGAAGAAAATTAGATCCAGTCACAATCATTTCATGACCTCCATTTACAGAACAACTGTTGATACTGTACTTCTCAATATGAGGAAGTTCTTGAGCAGATCGCTGAGCTGTTTTTTTTTTAAGAGTTGAGAAGAGATAAAATATTAGTTTACAATCTTCCATACATGAATGACAAATTCAAACTATACAATAAAAATAAAGAGAAGCAAACTTTGGGCTTTAAATGTTTGAGAGAATGGTAGCAATATCCACTATTATTTAGAAAACAAAACAGATTAGACTTGTGTGATTTCTAAATAATTTTCTCACAACTGTAAAGAAACCAAAAGAGAAAAATTAATCAATGCCTGCAACTTCATATTGACTCCAAAACACTAATTTCATCCACTTTTCTCCCTTTAGCTTATATCTTCAATACATTTCTTTCCTACAACTGTTAAAATCAATAAATCTAAAGCAAATTAATTCAAACATATAATTATATTTCATACAATTAAAAGAAGACAAGTTTCTAAAGGACAAATGCGAATTAGCTCTTTCATCAAGAAAATATCTACATCACCACCGTGAGACAACAGGATTCCATTTTGGGCAATTTGCTAAGTAACTGAAGTACATCCTGAATTTTTAAAAATGGAAGTAAATGTTTCTACAGTGTACTACACTCTTCCTTCCCAAAGTATGAGAACATAATTTTTCTTAATGCCTTAGGGTCATTCTTTAAGTTTCAACTTTTATAAAGTGACCTTGATCACCTTTCTCTCATATATACATATTTTTTTACCTTTCTCTCATATTGACTGATTTCAAGTTGTTATATTTTGTGGAGATCCTATTTCTGGGTTTTCTTTTTTTTTTTTTTTAACTGAGCTTTAAGCTACAGATTATACTTCTTATGATTGCTTAGGTTCTCACTAAGGGTTTCTTCTTGCCCAATGCCTAATTAGGTTTCTCTCTGGATCAAAACAAACAAAACAAAGTGTGGATTATGCACTCTTCTTCACAGCTGGAAAACAGGTCTACTTTTAGTTCTACTTCGTGGGTGGAAAATTGGTGGCTTTGAAGGTCAGCTTATGTTTTGTTTGGCTAGAACATATTTTAAAGAAATTTAAACTTGAATGCCTTTGGGAAGCACACATTCGCAGTTCACTATGGCTCTTCCCTGTCCCAAATATTTATACCAAGCCACAAAATGTATGTGAATTGGGATCACTGCCCCATTCAAAGAGAATGTTAAAACAGACCCTTTTCTTAGGAGATATAGGTCTGGGACTTAGGATCAACTACCACTTAGAAAGTACTGAGCACTAATCTAGATCTCAGAAAATGGCTCACAGAGAAGGGGCATGAAAACAAGCACTGACTGGCCTAAGAAGCAGACTAATTCAAATTTTAGATATTTATGATGGAAACTAGCCACCATGACAGCAAAGTAACAGCAAAAATGTGTTCAACAAATGGCAGTCATAAAAAGCAGGTAAGCTCAACTAAATTTTATATATTATATATATATATTCATATATATACACACACACACACACATATATATATACACATATATATGTAAAGACAAAAAAAGAAAGTCCAAAGAAAGGTTAATAGTGACTCTGTGAGATTAGTGATATTACAAAAAGATTTTCATACTACTTTGTACCACTCTGCATTTTTATATTCTCAACAGTCACATATTAATTTAATAAACTAAAAGAAAAAAGAAAATAATTTTAGAATAACTTCATCTCAAAAATTCAAATTACTCTATGAACTTAAATTATTTAAATTAACTTTGCTAAAAAAGAGACATATATGTTTATGTAGGCATAGAATAGTCTGGCATGATAATAAAAACATTGGTAATGACAGCTGCTTCCAAGAAGGGGAAATAGTTAAATTGGTAATTTGCTTTCCACTCTATATTCTTTTTGAATTTTGTAGCACGTGTCTGTATTGTTTATTAAAAATTAATACAAAACTGCTTTTACAGTTAATTCTATTACCATGGATTTGCTCAGTGATACCCACGGTCAAGTGGGAAATAATAAAGTAATAGTCCAATTCAACAAACAGCAAAAGGAGCACAGAAAGGTAATATAGTAGGTTTGACCTCATATTAATACATGTGTTTGACAGAAATAAAATGATATAACTGAAAGAGCACTAAGAAAACCTATGTTCTAGGCACAGCTCTGTCACCAAGAAGCAAATAAGATTGAATGAGTACGTCAGATACTTGTGCCTGTTTCCTCCTACACAAAATTAAGACATGAGATTAGAACACTTCTAAGACTATGCCCTAAACATCTGAACAGCAGTCTCAAAATTTCAGTCCTAACAGCTAACCTGCCAGAGGTCCATAGTTCTCCAGGGCTTGAGCAGGGACCAGGTTCTAGGGCCTGTTCTCATTTCCTGCCTTTGTAAATCAGGGGGAAAAGCATTCACTTTCTCAATCTGATGTTTTGAGTAGATTAATGATAAAACCAACCAACCAACCAAAAAATAAAATCCTTTAAGTCTTTAGCTGAGGAGTCAGTTTACAGAGATAGGCATATTCTAACAGGAAGGCTCACATTTTAACGAAACAAAGGTGACCAAAGGATACTTAATATGAGAACTATAGTTTCTTTTTTTTAAGACTTTATTTATTCATGAGAGACACACAGAGAGAGGCAGAGACACAGGCAGAGGGAGAAGCAGCCTCCATACAGGGAGCCCGATGTGGGACTTGATCCCGGGTCTCCAGGATCACACTCCGGACTGAAGGCAGGGCTAAACCACTGAGCTACCCTGGCTGCCCAAGAACTATAGTTTCAGTTGGTCCTTAGTTGTCATCAAGCCCAACTACCTCATTTACAGATATTTACAGATAAGAAAACTGTGGTCAAGAGAAGTTGTTTATAGTCCCACAGCTACCTATGGTCAAATTGTCATGAGAACCCATTTTATAAATCCAAGATCAGTACTCCTCCCACCTAAACACATAGCTTATTTTCATATAAGAAAATCACATCAGCTATCTAGTCTCTGTGCCTCAGTTTATACTTGTGATCCAAATATTACATTATATACAAAACAGAAAATGGCCTATTATAAACAAAATCTGAAAACATCACCACAAGCTCACTTACAGCACTCAACAGGTATCGAAGCTGTCTGCAGAGAAAGGACTTTTCCATTGGGCTGTGGGATGTGCACACGAAACACGAGACGTACTCTTGTATTCTTTCTGCCAATATCAGTTTCTCCTTTTCGAAGTTCTATATCTGAATTGCGGAGTTTCAAAATACCTGCACAATCAATACTAGGGAGAAAAATATACAAATTTTATTTGCTTGCTTACTGATATTTAGTGGTCCTCAACAACTCAGGTCAACTTGGCATAGAAGAACTATCACTACCTAAAATCAGGTCAAAAAAGAAAGATGTATGGGGTCTGGGTGGCTCAGTTGGTTAAGCATCCAACTCTTGATCTTAGCTCAGGTCTTACACTCTGGGTCATGAGTTTAAGCCCTGTGTTGGGCATGGAGACCATTTAAAAAAAAAAAAAGACATGATTGCATTTTCTCCTATTTTGAGATTAAAAGTTTTTTTGTTTTTGTTTTTTTTTAGATTATAAGTGTTTTGAATGACAAATGTTTAATAGTAAGTGTGGTAGACTGTCCAAAAAGATGGATGTTAATAATTCCTCCTCATTCCTGTACCTGAATACTGCTTCTCTTATTAAGAGGTGGAGTACCTATGTACCTTCTCCTTGAAAGCTGGCCTTATGATTTGCTTTGACAAACAATGTAACTAACTAACTGATGCAATGTAGATTATGAGGCCAACACTTAAGCCTCACAACTTCCACTTTTGCTCTCTTGGAGCCCTGAGCCACCATGAAGTCCCAACTAGCAAGCTGGATTCGGGAGCAGGAGTAATCCCAGCCGACACCACATGAATGGACCAACTGAGTCCAGCCAACCGTAAGAATCAGGAAAACATTGAACAGTTATTACTTTGTGGGGTTTTTTTTTTTAATAAAGTAAACCTCATTTGTTTATTTTTAAAAGACTTTGACAGAAAGAGAGAGAGTACAAGCAGAGGGAGCAGCAGGCAGAGGGAGAAACAAGCTCCCCGCCAAACAAGAAGCCCGATGTAGGGCTCAATTCTAGGACCTCAGGATCATGGCCAAAGCTAAAGGCAGACACTTAACTGACTCAGCCACCCTGGTGCCCAGAACAGTTATTATGTTGGGCCATTAGATATTAGACTGGCTTGCTTTACAGAACTAGGTTAAGTGAAATACAAAGTAAAAAGGCTGTTTGTTTTTTTAAATTTTTACTTATTTGAGAGAAAAGGAGCACAAGAGCACCAGGTAGGGGGGACAGGTACAAAGGCAAAGGGAAAGGGAAAAGCAGACTCCCTACTGAGCAGGGAGCCCAATATGGGGCTCAATCTCAGGACCCTGGGATCATGACCTAAGCAGAAGACAGACACTTAATTGACGGAGCCACCCAGGCACCACTAAAAAGACCGTTTTTTTTGTGGTGTTGTTTTTTTTTTAAAGACCGTTTAATTTTATATAAGTAACCAGGGCAGAAAAGATTCATTTGTAGGACTACAAATCAGTCACTTAATAGGATATTTAGACTTTTCTGGAGACGTTAGTTAGTCAAAACAATCCATCAGATTAAGATTCTTTCATTTCTAAAGTATGCACATATAAGATTAAAGTTTTGAGGGGATCCCTGGGTGGCTCAGCAGTTTGGTGGCTTCCTTTGGCTCAGGGCATGATCCTGGAGTCCGGGATCGAGTCCCACATCAGGCTCCCTGCACGGAGCCTGCTTCTCCCTCTGCCTGTGTCTCTGCCTCTGTGTGTGTGAGTGTCTCTCATGAATAAATAAATAAAATCTTAAAAAAAAAATTAAACTTTTGACATTTAAGATCTAATATTTCATTATCTTCCAAATTTATGACTTGTATGGCTGGCTGCTTGACACACACAAGGTAAGAAACAACATATCTACAATATATGTTTGTAGTTACATATTGAAAGAATGAAAAAGGATAAATAAACATTTTTTTTAAGATTTTATTTATTCATGAGAGACGCAAAGAGAGAGAGGCAGAGACACAGGCACAGGGAGAAGCAGACTCTACACAGAGGCCCAATGTGGAACTTGATCCCTGGACTCCAGGATCATGCCCTGAGCCAAAGGCAGACCCTCAACCGCTGAGCCACGCAGGCATCCCAATAATCAACATTCTAGTTAAAGTTTACTCTCTCTTACGGTATTCCTTTTCATTCTTTTGCTTTATCTACCAACAGTCCCAACTCTAGTGTTCACTGCCTGGAGACTGCACCAGTTGCTATGAGGACAGTATGTGTTATAGAACTAGGTAATCAAGGTAAAAACCAGTAAAGCACAAGAAAGAATTCCAAAAGGATGAATATTTTCATTTTCAGAAAGACAAAGGAGAAGAAATTTCCAAAAAAGGAAACACTTTTGAAAGTATTTGCCATTTATGGATAATGAATTATATTTAATATTAAACATCTGCATTTTATTTCTTCTTAAAGGTTTTATTTATTTATTCATGAGAGACACAGAGAGAAAAGCAGAGAAATAGGCAGAGGGAGAAGCAGGCTCCCTGTGAGTAGCCTGATGTGGAACTCGATCCCAGGACCCTGGGATCACTATCTGAGCCAAAGGCAGAGATTCAACTACTGAGCCACCCAGGCACCCAAACCTTGTACTTTAGATCAAAGCAGAACTGATCAAATTATATCAGGTAGTGATTATTCATGTTAATATGCCAACATGAGTCTTTAAGGGGAAATACCAGAGATCATCCATTGTATTGAGTTTTGAGGGAGGTTTTATTTATTTGTTCATTCATTCATTGTAAACTCTATCCTCATCACAGGGCTCAAACTCAGAACCCTGAAATCAAGAGATCAAGAGTCACATGCTCTTACTGACTGAGCCACTCATGACCCCTGGGAAGGTAGTTTATCAGAGACCTAAGTATCTAGAAGAAGGTTCATAAGTTTGGAATAAGAATATGAAAAATGACAATCTTAAAACTTTGGGTAAGAAATATACAGAGAAATAAAAACTATTAATTCTGTTTAAAAGTATGACTGTATTTTATTTATATCGGGGTTTTTATTAAGTTTTTTTCTTTTTTTCTTTTGAGAGAGAGCAGCACAAGCAGGGAGAGGGTGTAGAGGGAGACTGATGAAAGAAGACTCTGCTTAGGGTGTAGCCCGACATGGGGTCTGATCTCCCCACCCTGAGATCACCTGAGCAGAAATCAAAAGTTGGAGGCTTAACTATCTGAGCTACCGAGGCACCTCCCAAGTATAACTATATTTTAGATCAGAGTACAAAGCTGTCATATCCATATGCATCTAGTTTAAAAACAAGGAGTTACAAATAGGATAAGGCAATGAATACTGGCATCCTATATTTAAAGTACCTTGTAGGATGGCTTACAGCAATGGGTTAGTATAATGGTCTTAAATAAAGGGTCTTATACATCCAAGATAGTATTGACAAGACCATGCCTGTGACACAATAGGCAAAACAAAGAGGACTATCTACCAACCTTCTCCCATCTTACTGCTTTTAGAGAACAGAGTCATTGAATACATACCTATAACTCACTTATGCCTAAATTATTTTGAACAATGGTCTTATCTATCATTCACAAATTTTTTATCTACCATTATGTGACACTACACTACATTCATTAACTGTAGCTTATCCTTATAATTAGTTGTTACATAAAAAAGGCTCATTCATCATTAGCTACTCTATTATCTAAGATACATGGAAGAGTTTCCTTAGGTTTGGGTAGCTTCCAAGTTGGTTCTTCTGTTTTATTTTGTTTTTAAGATTTATTTATTTGACAGAAAGAGGGAAAGAGCCTGCAAGCACATAAGAGGAGAAGCGGGGCAGAGGGAGAGGGAAAGAGAATCTCAAGCAGACACCCCATTGAGCATGGAGCCTGACGCAGGCCTCAATCTCACAACCAAGAACATGAACTGAGCGAAAACAAGAGTTAGATGCTTAACCATCTGAGTCACCAAGGCACCCCTCCTAGCTACTTATTTGATATGTGAAGCTTTCCCAATTTCTTGAAAATTTTAGAAACTTCTATACTCTTTTAATTTTTAAAAAAATTTTATTTGAGAAAGAGATCATGAGCGGGGGGAAGGGCAGAAGGAGAAGCAGACACCCTGCTAAGCAGGGAGGCTGATATGGGACTCCATCCCAGGGCCTTGGGATCATGACCCAAGCCCAAGGCAAATGCTCAGCCGACTCAATCACCCAGGGGACCACACTTTCTTCTTTAATTTATTAATTTATACATTATTTTTAGAAAGGATGAGGGATTTTACAATATAAATACAAATAAGGTCAAGGAAAAATAGAAAAAATTTTAAATAGAAGGAACAGGAAATATATTCCAAATCTAGGGTTATACAAATTACTAGAATTACTATAACTAAACTTGACTGTGAACTTCTGGAAGCCAAGGCAAAAAAATAAATGTGATAAAGTTTTTATAGGTCTCTCCTTGTCAGGTAAAGCAAAATCTATAATGTTATCAGGAAATACCGGTTTTTCCCCTTTATTTATTTATTTATTTTTAAGATTTTATTTATTTATTCATGAGAGACACACAGAGAGAGAGAGGCAGACACAGGCAGAGGGAGAAGCAGGCTCCATTGCAGGGAGCCCAAGAAGGGACTCAATTCCGGGACTCCAGGATCACACCCTGGGCCAAAGGCAGGTGCTAAACTGCTGAGCCACCTGGGCTGCCCCAGCTTTTCCCCTTTAACTTGAAAAGTTTCTGTGGGTATGTATATGTGACTAACCTAAGAGACAGTACTTTAATACTGTTTTTTCAGATTATGAAGTTATTCATATATTTCTTTTTTTTTCTTTTTTTTTTATTCATATATTTCTTTTTTTCTTTTTTCTTTTTTTTGGTGTAAAGTTATTCATATATTTCTTAATCCTTCAAAGTTAAAAGGCATAAGAAGCTTCTGGTAACTTTCTATTTAACTAGATTCAAGTCTAGTGTGTAATATCCAGAAGAATGAATGTGGAAACATGGCCTGTAAACTATCTTGTAGGGATCAGTTTTATGAGTTCTTAGAAAAAGATGGTTCAAAACTGTTTTATTTTTATTTTTAGATTCAAGATACTTTTATTAGACACCTGTTGTTTTTTTTTTTTTTAATTGGAGTTCAATTTCCCAACATATAGCATACCCAGGTGCTCATCCTGTCAAGTGCCCCCCTCAGTGCCCGTCACCCAGTCCCCCCGCCCCCCCCACCCACCTCACTTTCCACTACCCCTTGTTCATTTCCCAGAGTTAGGAGTCTCTCATGTTCTGTCATCCTCACTGATATTTTCACTCCTTTCCCCTTTATTCCCTTTCACTATTTTTTATATTCCCCAAATGAATGAGACCATATAATGTTTGTCCTTCTCCGATTGACTTATTTCACTCAGCATAATACCCTCCAGTTCCATCCACGTTGAAGCAAATGGTGGGTATTTGTCATCTCTAATGGCTGAGTAATATTCCATTGTATACATAGACCACAGCTTCTTTATCCATTCATCTGTCGGTGGACACTGAGGCTCCTTCCACAGTTTGGCTATTGGGGACGTTGCTGCTATAAACATCGGGGTGCAGATGTCCTGGCGTTTCACTGCATCTGTATCTTTGAGGTAAATCCCCAGCAATGCAATTGCTGGGTCTTAGGGCAGGTCTATTTTTAACTCTGAGGAACCTCCACACAGTTTTCCAGAGTGGCTGCACCACTTCACATTCCCATCAACAGTGTAAGAGGGTTCCCTTTTCTCCGCATCCCCTCCAACATTTGTGGTTTCCTGCCTTGTTAATTTTCCCCATTCTCACTGGTGTGAGGTGGTATCTCATTGTGGTTTTGATTTGTATTTCCCTGATGGCTAGTGATGAGGAGCATTTTCCCATGTGCTTGTTGGCCATGTCTATGTCTTCCTCTGTGAGATTTCTCTTCATGTCTTTTGCCCATTTCATGATTGGATTGTTTGTTTCTTTGCTGTTGAGTTTAATAAGTTCTTTATAGATCTTGGATACTAGCCCTTCATCTGATAGGTCATTTGCAAATATCTTCTCCCATTCTGTAGGCTGTCTTTTAGTTTTGTTGACTGTTTCTTTTGCTGTGCAGAAGCTTTTTATCCTGATTAAGTTCCATAATTCATTTTTGCTTTTGTTTCCCTTGCCTTCATAGATGTATCTTGCAAGAAGTTGCTGTGGCTGAGTTCAAAAAGAGTGTTGCCTGTGTTCTCCTCTAGGAGTTTGATGGATTCTTGTCTCACATTTAGATCTTTCATCCATTTTGAGTTTATCTTTGTGTATGGTGTAAGAGAATGGTCTAGTTTCGTTCTTTCGCATGTGGCTGTCCAATTTTCCCAGCACCATTTATTGAAGAGACTGTCTTTTTTTCCAGTGGGTAGTCTTTCCTGCTTTGTCGAATGTATTAGTTGACCATAGAGTTGAGGGGTCATTTCTAGATTCTCTATTCAAAACTGTTTTAAATTCACCCTGGCAGCTACTGCAACTGTTATAGTCATACGCTTTTGATGCCAAATGAAAAAAAGTAAGATTCCAGAATAAAAGGGAAGAAGTCTACAAGCATGCATTCTCATTCAGTTCTCATTGACCACCACACCTTATTTGAAAATGTGTCAAATAGGATGTCTGGAGGCAGAGAACTGAGTTGGGTTCTTGCGTACTGTCTATGTGAACAAAGCAGATAAAAATAAGGTTTTATCTCAATTTATATTAACTGGTCTTTTCTGGTAAGAAGTAGATAATAAGAAAAAAGAAGTAGGTAACCAGATAAATTCTTTCTTTTCCTCTTCCCCTTTTTAAAAAGATTTTATTAATTTTAGAGAAAGCATGTGTACATGGGGAGGTGCAGAGGAAAAAGGACAAGCAAACTCTGCATTGTGTGTGGAGCCCAATGTGGGGCTCGATCCCATGACCAAAGCTGAAATCAAGAACTGGACACTAAACTGAATGAGCCACCCAGGCACCACAAGATAAGTTATTTCTTAAGGCAATTCTTATTTTATAATGATAGAATTATATCACAGGGATCCCTGGGTGGCGCAGCGGTTTAGTGCCTGCCTTTGGCCCAGGGCGCGATCCTGGAGACCCGGGATCGAATCCCACGTCGGGCTCCCGGTGCATGGAGCCTGCTTCTCCCTCTGCCTGTGTCTCTGCCTCTCTCTCTCTCACTGTGTGCCTATCATAAATAAATAAAACAAAAAAAAAAATTAAAAAAAAAAAAAAAAAAAGAATTATATCACAAATTGCTATGCCTTCAAGAGTGTATTCGGTTTACTCAAAAAGTTATTTAAATATGAATTTAAAGGAAGAGAGCTAGAGACCAAAATCTTATTTTATATAACTGTTATTACAATAATAGCCTGGGACAGATGTTACTGCCATTTTAAGAAAGGTCCATAACGTAGTTTGAAACAATCATGACAAACCTGACTGTAAGTTTCAAATACCTAGTTGTGACAAATTAAAATTAAATTTCCTTTTCCGGGCAGCCCTGGTGGTTCAACGGTTTAGCGCCGCCTTCAGCATGGGGTGTGATCCTGGAGACCCGAGATCGAGTCTCATGTCAGGCCTGCATGGAGCCTGCTTCTCCCTCTGCCTGTGTCTCGGCCTCTCTCTCTCTCTCTCTGTGTGTGTGTGTGTGTGTCTATCATAAATCAATCAATCAATCAATCTTTAAAAAAAATAATAAAGTGGCTAACTCAGGGGGTGCCTGGCTGGCTCAGATGGTAGAGCATGCAACACTTGACCTCAGGGTTGTGATTTTAAGCCCCACATAGGGCACAAACTTACTTAAAAATATATATAAGTAAAATTAAATTAAACAATAAAGAGGCTAACTCAGATGGAAGTTTTCATTTACCCTTCCTCTTATCCCTTCTTCCTTATTCCTTTTAGGACTACAGTTGTGATGGCTAGAGTTCCTGCAGCCACTTTGTATCTTGGGGCTAGAAGTTGCGTGTTAAAATAGCAGGGAAGAAAAAACAGAGAGAGGGCCCCCCCAATGACTTATGAAGCCGTTGTGTTAGCCCTAAAATGCCTATCTCTGTACCATTTTTTATGGAATAACAAACGAAGCATCTAATGTTTAAGCAACTGCATTTTCTAACATAAAATCTAACATATAATATCCTGCATATAATCCTAACTTGAACAAAACTCTAAAGGATTCTCATTCCGAAGCTAGCTACCTCATTTTGTTTGGAAACGAGTCAAACAGTATACCTGAAGATAGAGTCAAAGTGTCCTTTAAGGAAATTTAACATTATAATAATTGTACTGCAATTATTACTTTATTGTCTATTCTACTAGACTGCAAGCAACTTCAAGAAGCCCATATATATTTTTCTCTATCATTTAACATAATGCTTGTCTGGTATTACATGGTTCATAAACTTTTGGTAAATTGAATTTCTTTTCTGGAAATTTCCTCCTAACCTTATTAGCAAATATACTATGATTACTTACATAGTATTAGTTAATTTAGAACAATGAATCTTTCATTTCTGTACTAAAAAAGAAATAAAAAAAAAGAAATATATTTTTTCTGAAAGTTGCTTTATAGGAAAAAAAAAAAGAACTATCCATTTGAAGGTATTTTTCAAGATACCTGGCTGACATATTGTTTTCAGGAAGAAGGGGAATTTCCAGAACCTTTGTGCTGGCAATTATTATCTCTTGACTTGCAGTAGCAACAGTCTTCCCAGTGATTCGATGGACCTGGTAAAATGCGTGAGGTCGTAAATATCGATCATCTGCTGTTCCAATAAACATCTGTAGATTTATCGGCTTTTCACTATAGCCCAGGAGCTAAGGAGGAAGAAAAAATGGAAAAATACAACTTATTATTCACGTACTTACAATAAACTTACAATGGTAAGTCTATTATATCTATAACATATATTATTGATACACAAAATGTTATTTCAAAAAGATAATAAGAAAAAGTAATAAGTGAACAATCTTCCAAATTTTAGTTTATGAATTATAAAATGTTGGGATATGTTACAAAGGGATGAGGATTTGGTTGTTTTTTGTATAAATAGCTAGAACAATAACAATTTTGCAAAGCCTTCTTTGTAGAATGCTGTGAAAAACCAAAATGAATGCTGATTCTGTACTCCATGCAACATTAACTATCCAGACCAGACTTAAAAGACTGGTTACAGAAAGCTCCTCTAAAGCGCTTAAAATCAGACAGTTTGTTTTAGCAGAAAAGAAAAATCTCAAAACCCTATTATGTATGTTACCAACTTAAAATTTCAACTGACTTAACAGGCTGAGCTATTTGACTTTCTCTGGTATTCTTCATTATTGCTGAAGAAAGTGTTGGAGGTAAAAACAGCAACCACAAAAAAGGAGGAAAATAAAAGAAACAGAGCTTGGCACTTAGGGAGACTCCACCTGCCCAATCTGATGGCAGAGTAGCACCTGTCTGACCTATTATCATGCAGATAACAATTACAAACTGGAAGAAACATAAAGAGTGACTTGAAAGCATGGAGAGTAACCAAAGAAAGCATTTACTGGAAGCAAATTGACACATTTATGAAGAGAGTAAGGAAAAATGTGTTTCTCATTAAGGCTTTTTACCTAAGAGAAGGCCACAGACCATGCTTAAACTCCTAAAGAAAATCTATGGTCTGAAGGGTCTGAAGAATTAAGGAGAAAATATAGGACAAACCAAGAGGGAAAAATATAGGACAACCAAGAGGGAAATCTAAGAAAGGGGACGGCCAGAGAAGGGAAGCTCCAAAATATACATGTAAGCTTTGCCAGATCCTTTGGTTGACCTGGGAACCATCCACGAATAGGTCAGATCCCAAGAAGTGTAAGGTTAACATAACTGAAATGAAATTATAAACTGCCACCAACCAGAAAGAGAAAGGTTTTGCAGGTTGACTCCAACCAAGTTAAGTGACTGCTTAGTAAGCAAAAAAAAAAAAAAAAAAATCAGCATTTTTTGGGGGTACATTTGGGTGTACATGTGTATCTGTTTTGCTTTTGAGTTGGGAGTTCTTTATATAATCTGAACTATTAATCTCTTACAAATAAATGATTTGCAAATATTCTCTCTCATTCTATAGGTTTTTTCACTTTCTTGGTATTGTGCACAAAAGCTTTTAATTTTTATGGAATCCAATTTATCTATTTTGTCTTTTGTTGCCTGTACTTTTGGTATCATACTTGAGAAACCCATTTCCAAATCCAAAGTCAAGAAGACTTTCCTTGATGCTTTCTTCTAAGAGTTTTATACTCTTAGGTCTTAAATTTAGGACCTTAATCTATTTTTAGTTTATTTTTTAAAAAAGATTTTATTTCTTTATTGATGAGAGATAGAGATAGAGATAGAGATAGAGATAGAGATAGATAGAGAGAGAGAGAGAGAGAGACAGGCAGAGACACAGGCAGAGGGAGAAGCAGGCTCCATGCAGGGAGGCCGATGTGGGACTCGATCCCGGGACTCCAGGATCACGACCTGAGCCGAAGGCAGGTGCTAAACTGCCGAGCCACCCAGGGATTCCCTATTTTTAGTTTATTTTTGTTTATGATGTAAGGTAAGAGTCCAACTACATTATTTTGCATGTAGATATCCAATTCCCCAGCACTATTTGTTGAAAAGGACTGTCCTTTTCCCCTACTGAATAGTCTTGGCCCCCTACAGAAAATGAATTGACCATATACATAAGAGTTTATTTTGGGGCTTTCAATTCTATTTCACTGGTTTGTTTTTATGCCAGTACCACAGCGTTTTAAATACTGTAGCTTTGTAGTAAGTTACAGGTCAGGATGAGTAAGTCTTCCAAATTTCTTCTTCTTTTTCAGGACTGTTTTGCCTATTTGAGGCCTACTGCAATTACATACAAATCTGAAAATATGGGCAGCCCTGGTGGCCCAACGGTATAGGGGTGTGATCCTGGAGACCCGGGATCAAGTCCCACGTCGGGCTCCCTGCACGGAGCCTACTTCTCTCTCTGCCTGTGTCTCTGCTCCTCTCTCTCTCTCTCTGTCTGTCATGAAAAAATAAATAAAATCTTAAAAAAAAAATCTGAAAATACACTGTCCCATTCAGCAAAAAAGGCTGCTGGAATTTTGGTAGGTATAGCACTGACTCTACAGATTGCTTTGGAATACTACTGATGGCTAAACAATGTTAAGTTTTCCTATCTATAAAAATGGGTATCTATTTTTATTCTCCATATACTTATATTTTATTTTTTATCTTATGTTTCCATCTATATTTTTCTTTCAGCAATATTTTATCGTTTTCAGCATACAAATCTTGACACTTCCTTCGCTCAATTTATTCCTAATTCCTTTAGATACTACTGTAAATGGAACTGCCTTTTAAAATTTCCTCTTCAGGTTGCTCAACAGTGGTATACAGAAACACAAATATTGACTGTATGTGTTGATCTTCCACCCTGAAATACTCTATTTGTTTATTAGCTCTAGTAGCTTTCTTGTGGATGATTTGAGATTTTCTATGTACAAGAACATCTATGAATACAGTTTTTCCTCTTCCTTTCCAATTCAAATGCCTTTTATTTTATTTCTTTTTATTGTCTAATAGTTCTGACTAGAACTTCAAGCACAAATTTGAACAGCAGTGGTGAAACTGAGCATCCTTGTTCCTAATCTTGAGAAGAAAACTTTTAGTCTTTTACCATTATTTAAGTATGATGTTAGCTGTAGGCTTTCCCTAAATGACCTTTCATGGTAAGGAATTTTCCCCCTTTCCTAGATTGTGTATGTGTGTGTGTTTAAATGAAAGGCTGTTAAATTTTGTCACATGCCTTTTCTGTGTCAACTGAGACGATCACATGGTTTTTTATCCCTTCTATTAATGTGGTGTATTATCTCAACTGATTTTCCTATGTTGGGGCACCTTTTGCATTATGGGGATAAATTCCTCTAGGCAATGCTGTATAACTGTTTTAACGTGCTGCTGGATATGCTTTGTTAGTTTTTTTTTTTTTTTTTTTTTTTTTTTATTCATGAGAGACACAGAGAGGCAGAGACACAGGCAGAGGGAGAAGCAGGCTCCATGCAGAGAGCCTGACGTGGGACTCGATCCCAGGCCTCCAGGATCACTCCCTGGGCTGAAGGCAGACGCTTAAACATTTAGCCACCCAGGCGTCCCTATGTCTGGGTTTTGTTACAGCTTTAGTCTGATACCTCTGCTTTGAGATAGTGGCATCCTTGTACTTGGTTGTTTCACAAGCTTCAGAAAGATCTCTCTCGGTAATCTCCACTCCTACTTTTAGCCACCAAGTGGGAGAAAGATTTGTTCCACAGCTGTTGAAATCCATTAAACCAGCAAGGGAGCGACAAAATATTGGAGGTTGCATAAAGTCTATTTTTTAAGTATACATAGTGGAGGTATCCAGCTCTTCGAGGCAGTAGTGGAGTTTCTGGCACTCTTAAGCACTGTCAGAACAAGTTGTGGACATGAGTCACAGTGGCAGTATTGGGCTGGATGGCTGGACAATGCTCCAAACCACGAAACTTCCAAGCCTCAGATTTTATAATACTCTTTAAAAAAATTCTGTTTCTGTACTATATGGCTTATAAATTAGCCTAACACATGATATCAAATATAAAGTGTCTAGTACAGTGCTATCATGTAGGCAGCGATAAACAAATATTAGCTATTAGTCTGCATCCATGATTCTAGGTATGTAATGTAGTCTGAGTTCAAATGTGGTAGAAGGAGTTTTAGTCCACTATGCGGTCTTTCAGGTGAACACTTTACACTCCTGCTTGCCCATTCCCAGATTTATAGTGGAATTTATAACCAAGCAACATCATCATTGATTATCCTCTCCCCAGCAAACAACATGAAGATTTCTGCCTATTATTGGGTAATATAATTTACTTAGGATGGTTATCAGTACTGTAACATTTACAGAAAAGCAGTTAAAGCCTGGACCACTGCAATGGCCTTATAACTCTTCTCACTCCTGCTCCCTTACAGCCTATTCACTGTCTGGGAGCCAGAACAAACTTTAACTAGATAATTTCACCTCCTGCTCAGAACTCTAATGCCTTCCTTGCAACATTCAACTAAATCCAAATGCCCTGTGATGATTTATAAGGCCTAAGTGATTTGAGCTCTAGCTAACTTGTTGTCTTACCATATCTTACTCCTTTCCCTTCCCCAATCTGCTCTGATTATTCTGGCCTTGTTGCCTGAACCACCTAAGCTCGTTCCTAACCTCAAGGCGTTCATGTTTAATACTTTAGCACTCTGGAATATTCTTCCCTCTGATTTTCATATTGCCTCACTCCAGTTCCATACTCAAATGTCAGCTCCTCAGAAAAGATCACCTTACCTAAAATACCTTATCACTATCCCCTTATCCTGTTTCATTATTTTTTATAGTATGGATCACCATGAAAAGTGTGTCACAGGGTCACCTAAGTGGCTCAGTTGGTTAAGTGTGCTATTATTGATTTCTGCTCAGGACATGATCTCAGGGTTTTGAGATCAAGCCCCATGTCAGGCTCTGTGCTCAGCAGGGAGTCTGTTTGAGATTCTTTCCCTCCCTCTCCCTTTGCTCCTCACCCAACTCATGCGTGTATGCACAATCTCTCTCGAGAAATAAATAATTTTTAAAAAATGTGTTATAGGGGCACTTGGTGGCTCAGTGATTGAGTTTCTGCCTTTGACTCAGGTCATGATCCCGGGGTCCTGGGATCGAGGCCCACATCGGGCTTCCTGCGAGGAGCCTGGGAGGAGCCTGCTTCTCCCTCTATGTCTCTGCCTCTCTCTGTGTGTCTCTCATGAATAAATAAAATCTTTTTTA